ATATATATATATTGCACGTTTGTGTATATGTGTCACATGTAGAAGCCAGAGGTCAGCCCTGAGGGTCATTCCTCAGCACTGTACACCTCAGGTCTCTTACTAGCTTGAACTCACCTAGTAAGCTAGGCTGACTAACTAGTATGTCCAGGGATCCTCTTTTCTCCACCTTCCCAACACTACCATGACCCACCACTCAGCTCTTTTCTATCAGTGCTATGAATCAAACTCAGGTCCTCATGCTTACATGGCATTTTCCCAAGTAAGTCATCTCTCCAGCCCATTAAGCAACTCCTTGATGTCCCTCTCAGGACATAGCCATGGATAGTTAGAGAGCCACACACAGTCCAGGCTAGGTAGAGGTCCCAGTCTCATGGGAAGAGACAAAGTAAGTGGGTTTAAGAGTAATTGATTCTGGGGCTTGACAGAGAGTTCAGCGGTTAAGAGAACTGACTGCTCTTACAGAGGACCTGGGTTAGATTCCCAGCACCCACACGGCAGCTAACAACCATCTGTAACTCCAGTTCCAGGTAAATCTGATGCCTTCTTCTGACCTCCACAGGCATTGCACGACATGGGTGCATTTACACACGTGCAGGCATAACACTGATACACATAAAATAAAAATAAAGAAATAAAATATCTTTTAAAAAAGAGTAATGAAGGGGTTGGAGATCTAGCTCAGTGGTAGAGCACTGGCCTAGCAAGCGCAAGGCCCTGGGTTCGGGCCTCAGCTCCGAAAAAAAAAAAAAGGAGTAATGAAATCTATGGGGCTGGAGAGATGGCTCAGCAGTTAAGAGCAATGGCTGCTCTTGCAGAGGCCCTGGGTCTGGGTCCCAGCACCCACATGGGTGCTAACAACCATCCGTAACTCCAGTTCCAGGGGATCCAATGCCCTTTTCTGATCTTGGATATTGCACGGTATGGGTGCGCTTACATACATGCAGACAATAGACTCATATACATAAAATTAATGTTTTAAGAAGTAATGAATTCTAAAGATGCACCCCATGTGTAGGATCTTGCCTGCTTAGGTTGGAGGCACTATAGCGGGACAGCTTCCCTGAGAAAGTGACATTAGAGAGAAGCAATGGGGCAGAGGGGTTCTCTGCTGTGAGCAGGGCAGCCTTAGTGACCACGGCAAAGAGGATGCATCGTGGAGGCCCCTGAATACAGGATAAGCCTCCATCTGGAGTCAAGGCAGGGATTCTGAAAAAGAGGCCTCATAATTAAATTCACATTCAAACATACAATTCTGCCAGGTGTTGTGACATACACCTGTAATCTCAGCACTTGGGAGGTAGGGGTAGGAAAATCAGGAATTTAAGGCCAGCTACAGCTATATAGTGAGTTCAAGTCTACCTTGTGCTACATGAGATCCTGTTTCAAAGAGCCAAAAGTGGGGGGAAAAAAAAACAAGCAAACAATAGCAACAAAAAACTCTACACAATCTGAGTAAACTAAAGTAACCCGGGGAGCCAGACACAGCACGCCTGCCTTTCTCTGTACCCAGCAAGATCCTGTTCCTGTGACTTTATTTACTCTTCGGTAGGTCTTAGAGGGCTTTCTGGGTTGGGCAGTCACCAGTACTAGAATGTCCAGGCCCTCACTCCAACCCACCTTTCTTCTATCTGCTTCTTACATGAACTTTCAAAGAGACTGTCTTTGAATCAAAGTTCCCTTAGCTCACAATACTTTTCAAATCTATGATCTACCAAGGACAACTACTTTAGCCTATCATCATGGGCACAGTGAGGTTTCTGGGCCTATTGTTCATTCAAGACAGAGAGACACTGCTCCCCTCCAGTCCCCCAGCGTCATAGCCAGAACTGGGGACAAGCTACTGTGGTTACAAG